CATTTCCAAAATCTTGTCTCTGCTCTCAGCTCTTTTTTGACAAGTATTTTTAGCCTTAAGCCTGGTAGGTCCTATCTCACTTGTCACATCAAAGGTATCAGGCTGTACCTGCCTGCCAGCCAGTTTCATATATTCAGTTTCTGAATAGTCGTGGAACTGCACAAAGCCTTCAAGTTTCAACATTTCACCCATCCAATAGGATATTCTACTGGGCCAATTAAAATTTGCAGTATAAATTCTTTCCTCATAGTTTAACCCTTAGCATCTTATGGAGTCTGTGAGAACTCTACCTCATTTGCCAGCACATTCTAATTACTCTTTACTTCACTGAATGATTTTTTTTTTTTTTTTTTTTTTCTCTGAGACAGAGTTTCGCTCTTGTTACCCAGGCTGGAGTGCAATGGCGCGATCTCGGCTCATCGCAACCTCCACTTCCTGGGTTCAGGCAATTCTACTGCCTCAGCCTCCTGAGTAGCTGGGATTACAGGCACGCGCCACCATGTCCAGCTGATTTTTTGTATTTTTTAGTAGAGACGGGGTTTCACCATGTTGACCAGGATGGTCTTGATATCTTGACCTCGTGATCCACCCGCCTCGGCCTCCCAAAGTGCTGGGATTACAGGCGTGAGCCACCGCGCCTGGTGTGATTTTTTTTTTTTTTTAAGAGAGGGGGTTTCACCATGTTGGTCAGGCTGGTCAAGAACTCCTGACCTCATGATCCGGCCACCTCGGCCTCCCAGAGTGCTGGGATTACAGGCATGAGCCACCATGTCTGGCCACTGAATGATTTTTAATTAATGGATCATGCTTAGATTCTGATTATATTTAAATATAATTCAAGGCTGGCTGTGGCTTGTGCCTATAATGCCACCTACTCAGGAGGTGGAGGCAGGAGGATCACATGAGCCAAAGAGTTTGAGGTTGCAGGGTCTGGCCACTGTAGTCCAGCTTGAGTGACAGAGTGAGACTTGACTCTCAAATATATGTTTGCTGAGCACAGTGGCTCACACCTGTAATCCCAGCAGTTTGGGAGGCCGAGGTGGGTGGATTACCTGAGGTCAGGAGTTCGAGACCACGCTGGTCAACATGCTGAAACCCTGTCTCTACTAAAAATACAAAAATTAGCTGGGCATGGTGGCAGGGCACCTGTAATCCCATTTACTGGGGGAAGTAAGGCAGGAGAATCACTTGAGTGCAGGAGGCAAAGGTTGCAGTGAGCCTAGATCGTGCCGTTACACTCTAGCCTGGGCTACAAGAGCGAGACTATCTCTTAAAAAAAAAAAAAAAAGTATGTATACATATATATATATATACACACACACATACACATACACACGCACACACAAATATACACACTACATATATACACATACATATAACATGTTTATAATATAAAACTTTATAAATGTAAAATATATTTATAAATATATTTTTGCATCAATTGTTCAGTTAATAGTTTTATAATATATAATAAAATATAAGGCCGGGCGCGGTGGCTCAAGCCTGTAATCCCAGCACTTTGGGAGGCCGAGACGGGTGGATCACGAGGTCAAGAGATCGAGACCATCCTGGTCA